ATGCAACAGCTCGGAACTGCTTTTGAGGCCGCATGAGGCCGCCGTGCCGTACACTAAAACTCGCCAGCGCATTTCAGTCGACAGACCACTACAGCACGAGTGATCGTCCGGATCCAAGTGCCTTCCAAGCATCACCATGTACGTAGTACTACTGTTGATGGACAAAATCCTGCATGACCTTATATACCTAAACTATGGGATTTTATGGTACTATACTATATTTGGGTCATGCAGGATTTTGTCCATCAGCCGTATCACTGCTTTTTTGGTGCTGCAAGTGCTACTCGCATTACTGTTTGTATCGTTGTTTGTGTTTACTTCTATAATGCACATCAGAATATGCAATGGGAATAGCTGCTCTGAGCGGTTGGCATCCAGAGGTCTTCACAACACTTAGACACTCGGCTTCCTACAACCCGGACTACTCCAGGCCGCCAAAATGCTGTGTGGAATCTTCCCAACTCCACAACTCGTCACAAGACCCTACATTTGACAGCCTCTTCACCCTAACACGGCCGAATCTTTGCCGTGAAAGGCCTCCGGCCAGAAGCCATGGCGGCAGAGGGGTCAGAAGGGTGTGCGGATTGCTTGCGCTTCAGGTCTTTCCTGTCAAGACAGGCTGTCGGTGAACCGAACCCTAAACCCTAAACCCTAAACCCTAAACCCTAAACCCTAAACCCTAAACCCCTAAACCCTAAACCCTAAACCCTAAACGATAATGTCCGGACTTCGCGGAGCAAAGTACAGAAGGGGCTGGGCCGCTGGGCTTGTGCATCCAGGTTAAGGGTTTAGGGTTTAGGGTTTAGGGTTTAGGGTTTAGGGATCCAGGCGTTGAAGGATTGCTGCTTGCTTGCAAACGAGGCTTCTTTCACCAGTTGTGTTCGGACTTCATGCTGCAATCTTTGAAGTGCAATAGCAAAAGCATGCTGTTGTACTGGGAGTGTCGGGTTAGCTTAGGGCTCGGGGCTCGCATCATGATTCAAAACTGCTCCTGCGCAGAATATAAGAGCCTCAATCGTCAGACATGATACAAGATTCCCCCCCTATGTTTCTCGGTTTAGGGTTTAGGGTTCAGGGTTTAGGGTTTAGGGTTTAGGGGAATGGAAGCTGATGAGTTCGAGCCGATCGGTGGGCAAGCTTTTGACCAGGGAATGCCGGGCTTCGATACGACATGGATCTGAAACACCGCTCAAATCTGATCTCTCTAGAATACCTAAACCCTAAACCCTAAACCCTAAACCCTAAACCCTAAACCTTAAACCCTAAAACCCTAAACCCTAAACCTTAAACCCCAAACCCTGATGCCCTGACTGATGGGCTCCCAGGGATCTCGGGTAGTTTAGAAGGCTTTTGTAGGTCGTGGTACTCAACCTATAGTCTCCATTGTAGTTCCTTTTTTTGGTTTAACCAACTATATATTAAGGATTTTATAAGGTATCCCCAAAAAGGAACTACAATGGAGACTATAGGAAGATCAGGACTGAAATAGTTTCGGAGCTCGGGGTTGAGACTTAGATTCAGAGTTCGGGGTGTCGGAGGTCTCAAGCTTGGGGTTTTCAGGTGGGGAAGCGCTGAGCGTGCAGTTGCGTGTTGGGGCTGTCACGGTTCGAGCTTCAGGGATTTGAGTAAAAGGCATCGAATCAGGTCTACAGAGTCTACAGAATGGGATCCGAATATCAACCCAAAGAATAGCAGGATCGGGAAGTACAATGACCCGTAATATAAGAATGAGGTACCTCTTAAACTCAACCCGATGCTCCCGCTTTACCCACGTGGGACGGCTTCGATTTCTTACCCACCAGCGTCCCAAGTCCAACCCCCAAACCGAAAACAATCCGCGCCACAAATGCCCTCTCCACCAACAAAAAAACAACAACTGCACCGCAAAACTCAAAATGCACCGTTCTTGTCCTTTTTTGCCCGTGGCCCACAGCGAAGGTAACCTGGGCTCAATTGCAAAAGGCAATGCCCATGGACAACGAAACGAGACCAAAATTAAGCTTTCGGGTTTAGGTTTATGGGCTCTCGGGCTTGGAGTTTAGAGTTGTGGAGTGCGCACAACCTTGCACACTGGAGCTGGCAGGTGAATTCCAGACAATCCAGGAACCTGTGAAAAAAGCTTGAGATAACACGATCTTTACCACAACGACAAGGATCCCCAACTAGGTAACTAGGGGCCCTAATGAATTTTCTAGATCCAGCATCTGTCAAGTCACTGCCCTCACAACGCCACGGCTTGCCTTTTCGCTGGCGGCATCCCATTCTCCTGCACTCCGGGCTTGGTGCATCCAGACATAACCCGCTACCCCTTCCGTGTCTACCGTTTGCAGGATGTTATATGTATGTGGGACTGTCTTCCTTTTTTGTATATACGTGACTGGTTTTGGATGCGAAGGCCTTGCGCACAGCGAAGAAGTCGGTGATGCGCTTTGCACTTAAATGCGGCCTCGGCGACGCTCTAATTGAGGTTTGCCACTCTTGCTACCATGGGTTTCGCTCTGCCCGTGCCATGTCCGAAACCTCATAACTCCACCGTTGAGCCTCCAAAGATTTCGACGGATCTGCGTTTCAATGCTTCCCAGACACTCTAATGCTACAATGCTACAACCTCGCAATTAACGAATGTAGAGTTTCAATCAAGGAAGGTGTAAAGGTTACGTGCAGGATTTTCGCTGCATGTCCTTTACTGAATTTTTATTGGGCTCTCTGAGAACCCAACAGCCAAAGCCTTATGGGGTTTTGGCTTCTTGTCTGGCATCGCTCAACTCGGAGCCCTGATGTAGGGGCCTTAATCGAAGAGGGTTCTGGGGTCCATTATACTGTATACTTATAAGAAGGAACCCCTTGAAAATACTATAGGAAATTATTTCGGACCCTATATTACAGCCCCATACCCTGGCTAACACTTCAAATAACAAACCACCAAAACCCCAAAGCCTTGACCCTGAAACCATGAAAAGCGCAGGAGTCTTCTAAACTCCACACCGAGCCCCATACTATCATATACCATGATATGTAAGACCGCTTCATGTCCTTCATCTACTCTCTATTATCATATATACTATCATATGTTTACTCTAACATTCGATCATATAGCTACCCATAGGCCCCACAGTAGCTCTTTTTGGGGATTACCTTTTAGGATTCTATATATGAACCCCAAAAAGGAACTACTATGGGGCCTATGGGTAATGTGGGAGTTTCCGAAAATGAGGGGTGCCTTATTTTGGGGTCCATATAATAAGGATCCTACTATTTAGGGTACTATGTTAGGGTCCCCCATGATAGGAAACCCCCATGTGGGGGTTTCCGAAAATAAGGGGCCCTAATATAGTACCCGAAATAGTAAGATCCTTAATGTACGGGCCCCTAAATATGATACCCCTAATTTTCGGAAACTCCCATGTATAGATCCCAAACTGTTGAGGTCTGCTGAGGCCAACTCTGACACCGCGACGTGGCGGCGTCCCGGGCCGGCGTGGCCGGCTGCTCCGGCAGCGGAACTCGCGACGTAGGTGACCCCGGTTTAGGGCTGAGGGTTTAGGGATTAGGGTTTAGGGTCATAAGAGGATGAGTTTAACGTAGGGGCCTTAGTAATTAGAATAGGGTTCTTGGGGTTCCTTAGAGGGTTCTATAAGGGCTACTAAATGGGTTCAGGGTTTAGGCTTAATAATTAGAATAGGGTTTTGGGTCCTTTGTGGTATAAGTATAATAAGGACCAGGAACCCGCCCCTAAACCCTAAACCCTAAATGACATAGGTAATTATGGAGGCCCCTAGTCTCGGTTTTGGGTTCCGGGATTTCAGATGTTGGAGTTTACGGTTTGAAGCGCTTTAGAGTGACTAACTGGCTCGGGCTTTCAACCCCGAAAATTTCGAGTGCTATTGCGCGGGCTTCGGATCTGGGAAAACAAGATCAGTGTCTTGTGGCTTGCGCGGGTAAGGGAGTAATATAGGGGCCTAAACAATTAGAATAGGTTTGGGGGGTATAGTATACTACACAATATGTAACAGTGAACCCCCCAAAATAGAATTGGCAATTATGGAGGCCCCTATATTAATTGTGCGATTTCGGCGTTGCATCGTTGATGGGGGGTCTAAGCGGAACGCGCCTCCCTTGAGGAAAAGCGACACCGCCACGTGGTCCGAAAGCTGCGGAGGCCTTCGGGGATGCTTAGGAGTGTTTTTACTTATTTTTCGACCGGGGGGGACTTGATTTCGTGTTGTTCTTTCATGTTGTTGTTATGCCTTTTGGAAGGGTAAAGGGGAGCAGATAAGTTTTGGCGTTCTAGTGTTGCGAGCTGGATGGCTTCTCGCCTTTTTACGACTTGTTGATTTTGATTTTCACTGTTCTACAAAGTTACGTTCTCGTTTCCAAAGGGTGTGGGACTCACAGTCGCTGATGATCTTGGCGCGTCTATGAGAGTTGCCACTTGGCACTAAGGGGCGGGTGAAAACTTCGCAAAGGATGGTGGGATTAAGGCTGATTAAGGGTTCGAGGATACCATAGGATACCCATTCATTTTTCGGGGTTGTCAAAGACCCATCGGCTTAGGATTGCGACATGAAGTCATTACCGATTTCATCGACACTCGTGGACAGGCACTGACAGGCACGTGAAATCTCAAATCCTGCCTGGAACAAACAACCAAAGAAACCTTCTGTCGAACAAGCCCCACAACTCCAGACGCCAAAGCCGTGAACCCCAGCTGCCAAACCCCCACGCAGGGAGCCGCACGTGTAGACGATGCCACTGGAGGGGCCCTGGACAGGGAAAGCTTCGACGACAAATTCACCGAAGTGCCTAAACCTAAACCCCTAAACCCTTAGTTTAAGTCCACACTGGGGAGTTCAGGGTTTGTTGTCAGCAAGAAAGTCATGGCGGGTAAGCGCAGTGTCAAGAACCCTCCTGTGAGTTCTTTATGTGCTTTGAATCGGCTGGGGCGCTCTGGCATCCTTCATTCTTCTGCACCATGCTGGAGCTGCTGGGAAGCTGTTAAAAAAAACCCAAAACCCTTAAGGTACTAAACATCCCTAGATCCTACGCTAAACTTTGAACTTAACCTGCTGAACCCTAAACCCTAAACCCTGAACAATGAACCCTAAACCCTAAACCCTGAACCCTAAACCCTGAACCCTAAACCTGAACCCTAAAACCCTAAACCCTAAACCCTGAACCCTAAAACCCTAAACCCTAAAACCCTAAACCCTAC